CATTACAATGTATCAATAATCCTTTTCGAATTTGTAGCTCATTTATGGTTTAGTAGAATTAGTGTAATCTGATTATTTATTATCTCATTTTTTTCGTATGTTACTATTATATTTTTATTATGTTTAATTTATTCATTTTCCAGTTATAACGATTATACACAGTAGGTCTACTTAGCGTTTCAGAGGCTGACGATTTTATTTATCAGAATTATTTCTTTCTAAACATTCCATTAGTAAGGCCTTCCGTAGAGTCATTTTCGGGTTCATGCTCTCCTATCATTATAAATTATTTACCTCACACGCCATTCGACCATACTCGGAATCCCTGTGAAATGCGAACCCGATGCGAACACTGATTACTGTGGTTCGATTTATAGCTGGTTGTCTATCTACCCATCTTAAGCTGATCTATATCTCAAGTATTGTGTTATGATCTGCAATCCTCCCAGGCATTCGACTCCATAAATGCTTACTTCAATTGTCCACCTTTTCCCGCTTTATTTTATTAATTCTTTTGTTGACGTTGTGATATCTGAATACTCAAGTTTTTATTATTTTATTCAACTACATTCTTCATGGCCGTCACTATGTCGACTATCTATTATTCGTTACGTCATTAATTTTCATTAACCCGGTAAATAATTGCTTCGCGAGGTTTACATATTTTCCAGTGAATTTATAGTAGCATGTGTAGTGTTAAACCTGTTGTCTTTACAAACTCGGAAATTACACCAAATTATTGCCTTGCTTGAGTCTAGGATATAAGAATATTAATTTTAAACTGGTAAAAAAGTTGAGACTGCTAAAAAGTTTGTAGGCATACCCAAATCTATACTTTATCTTGGTCGCAACAATTTGGATTACTAAATATATCTGTATTATATGAGATCAAACTTTTTATCTTTAAACTTTACAGTTTTATTTATGCAATAATTACACGCAAGTTACTAGTTGTTGATGGATTTCTTCCGGAGATGCACATATATTGTTTTATTTTATTTTTACTTGGCGGATCTTATTTATCTATGCTTAAGAAATAATCCGCCCTATATATATTAATTAATTAATTTTATATATATATATATATAGATAGATAGATAGATAATGAATAAGGTACTGCTATGCAACTAATTTTTCATTGGATAGATATTCTAATCGCTCCATCTTTGTGAAATCTATTATTTTTCTTCATACCAATACATTTTCTGTGGATGCCTAGATTTAACATTGGCGGAATATAGTCATCTATATCTACTGGTTATCCAATAGATGCTCGGTCAATGATTTATTCTTATTCTTATCAAAAAATGAAATACTGCTTTATTTCAGCTTCCCACGGTGCCACAACCAAGTCGATGGGAACTTTCACCAAGTCATGCAGAACCTTCTGATCAAATGGGAGCAATGAGCCCTAAATCGGGACCTGTCCAAATACAAGCTGATGATGAGCGGCATGGTGGCTGGCAGGCTGATGAACCAGTTGTCTCTGCTAGTGCGCTTGGAATCAAGCCTGTTCATTTAGTCAGGGAGTCTAAGGGCCGTCATGAAGCCTCCAGTGCTGTTACCGAAGTGACTGTTGATAATGCATCACAATCTTTTCCTCGTCTTTCTGCTGACCGAATTCCATTGCCGCCATCTGGCGAGACATCAAAAATCGCCAATAGCTTTGCAAGCACATCAACTTCAGCATCTACGAACACGACTACTACTTCGACTATCACTGAAGATCCTTCTTCCTTGTCTAGTCGCAAAGCTCCCCTTCTTCCGACCCCTGGGAATAGCAGGCCCTCAGTTCTTTTAAGGTTGCGGGAACAACAAGCAGTTGAAGAGGCAGAACGTCGACGTATAGCTGAGGAGGCTGAGGCAGAGGAAGCAGCAAAACGGGCTGAAGGATCGGATGATACAAAACGTTTGCTTGCTCAGAGCACAATGGGAGCTGAGCTTAAGAGAGTTGCGGCTGCGGCAAAGCAGCAAAAGCAGCAACAGAAGGCTCATCATCAACACAGTGTGATTTCAACCAAGTCCAATATAAATGACCCGTCTGGAGACAGATTAGATGCTGAAAAGTCGGTTAAATTGAAAGCTTCTGGCTCACCGAATGATCAAAGCTCGGCCGGCCCAAATGTAAGAGGCACACAACAGACCGGAGTGAGTGCCCTCAACCTTAACACAACTCTCGACTAATCTGCTGTCCCCAAGTCCTTACTATCCTGTTTCAGTTTAACTTTATCACATCTGTACTCTATCTCACATTCCCTCTAATCACCTGCACTTTTTATACGGAATTTTCTTTTTTCTAATCCTCTTGTTTTTACTGCTAATGTAGTCGATTAGCACAATCACTCCATATCACATATTTTATGAAATCTATGTTAAATTGTTGCTTCCTCTTTGATTACCACCCCTCATGGCTGGGTTCGCCTATCTTGGGTCGAATGGTTTACAAAATAGTATAGTTAGATCGGTTAGATTATTGGCTTGTGAAATCATTGTTCGTTTTTTTAGAAAGAGCACTTAGGCATTATATTGCTCCTACTTCTTCTTTCGATTGCGTTTATTCAGATGAATTTTTAATTATGTATCTTTGCTAGCAAATATCAATAGTTAACAGTACCTAGACATTGCAGAACAGCCTGTTCCGGTGCTAATATTATATGAAATATTTATTCTTTAATATGATTCTCAAAGGAGTTATCAACAATTGAATTAGCGATAAAGTTTAATTACTATAGTGGGTAAGACGAGCATTAATGCATTAGCCTATGTAATTTGCAATTATCTCCCTCAGCATCGTTGATTAATGCAAATGACGTAGGGTGGCTGATTGAAGATTGGATACAAAGGCAGGCCGTAAATGTAGGTCACAACATTAGGTCCATTTTGCAGCAATTTTGTAAAAAAAAGCAGGCATTTGTCGCTATAACTGTGGATACATTTATTATTTGTTTTTTATTTTATAGCTAAGTCCTATTTTAAAAATGATTAATAACGTTAACCAACTTGGTGTTAGGAGGCATTCAAAATTTTTTTCATCATTACTCCAATCTTATTTGAATAATTGACATTTTCTTTGTACTCGCTTTACGATAGCCCTGTTTCATATCCTATTGGTGAGAAAAATATATAAATGTCACGAATACTAGGTATGGTGCCTGCTGATATACTGAATTTTAGCGACTTGTTTTGATTAACTATTGTTGCTTTGTAATGTTTGTTTTATGCTTTGTATTGCTGATTGCCAAAGGCACACTCACAAATCTTAGCTATGTCTAAATCAACAGATACGTTGGCCTCAAATCTTGCATTCGATGATTCAGATTTATCGCAGAGTCAAGTGTTATCTGGAATCCTACTTTCTGTGTCGTTTCCACTATTTTTCTATTTTTAAGAGTTTTTTGGTCTGGATTTATTCGCCTCTGAATTGTGAAACTCACAATTTCCGTTTTCTAGCGTCGGAAAATCCTAATTACGGGATGTGTCGTTGCACCATAGTATGTTCAAGGGAATTTTGGTTCTTTACGGCGCCAAATTTGCTAATTATGGGCCCTACCTTGGTACCTGCTGCCTTTGTATGTGTAATTACAAGCTCCTACCCAAATGAGTGTTCTAGTCATCAGTCGTCTGCCAGATTCTTGCCTTATCATTTAATTCTCAATC